ATTGCGCGTCACACGTGCGCGCCGCCCTAATCCTCGTCGCTTAATCCTTGGCGCGCGAGGCATCGCGCGCCTCGTCCGTCTCGCACGCGCTGGCCACCGCCCCCGCTAATCTAGTCCCGCACGGCATGGGTCGTCTGTCCCCCAATCGCGCGCCATCGTGCGCGCCTTGCTGCCACTGGACTCCTCGTGCGCGTGCGTGCAGTCGCCCATCACTCCTACGCCTATCCGGCCTAGGGCGTTGCCCGCGTCGTCTCCACTTGCGCGCCCAACGCTCTCCGCGTCCTCGCTGCCTAGGCCCCGCGCATCCCGGCCACCGTCCGCGCCCCAATNNCTACGGCGCACCCTACCACGCCTGCTTCTTTGCGCGTCGCATCCGTCGCCCGCATGCCCCGATCACCTCCTGCGCACCCCCGTGCGCCTGCCGCGTTGCACGCACCTCCTCTGCCAGCGGACTGCTTACATGCGCGCCTATCGCGCCCCGACGTTACGCCACCGAACGCCAATGCGTCCCAGTCGACGTCCGCGACTTGCCCGCTCACCGAGTTCCCGCACACATCATCCTGTTCCGTCCACCCGCGCGCATCATGGGCCGATGCGCGCCATTCGCCCATGAGCCGATCGCCGTCGCCCTTTTCGTCGGCGATCGTCACCGTTGGTTCAGGCCATGGATCCCAACCTTTCAACCTCTCACAATCCTCGGCCGGTATCCACCATCCATCTTTCTCCCATCGCAACCCGCGCCTTCTAGCCTCCTTCTTTCGTGCTCGTCTCTTCCTTGTACAAGGTTTACACCAACAGTATGATTCCTTAGTCTTCGACTTGCGTTTCCTTCGGGCTCGTTTGGTCTTGCGCTTCTTAGGCTTAAGCTTTGATTGCGGACCACACTCTTTTGGCCAATCTCGTACGCATGATGGTCGGTATATTGGACTTGTCGGCTCCTCCATCGTGTTCTCCAACCAAATATCGAGGCCATCGCCATCCTCGTCGTCTGACTCACCGGGGTTGATGACCACTTCCATATCATTCCCCTCCTCTTCAAGACTTTCCTTGTCTTCAAGGATTAGAAAATTAAGCGCACCATCATCTTCACGGTTTTGAACTTCACCCACCATTGCTCCTTGCCCTTCCATGAGTTGTTGCTCGTACGCTTCACGATTTCTTCGTTCATGGAGCTCGTCTAGATATGTGCTCTCCCATGGGGTAAGTTCTCTCTCCAAACTCTATAATAGTTCGAGATCTTCCCAATCCATCTCGTCCATTGGCACATAAGACATATTTTTTTTTTTAAGACTCTAAAAAATAATTCGAACAAGTCGAACCAAAAAGAAAGAAAAAAAAACAAAAGAAATTCGGCCCCTTCGACAAAAAGGTAATGACCGAAAAAAATAAAACAAAAGGACTAACAAGAGTGACACTTTTTTTTTTTATACTATCGAATATTCGAAAATTTGGGAACAAAAATTTGAAAAATCGAACAAAAAGAAATCAAAAAAATCGGACCCAAAAGAAAAAGAATGGGATAGAAAAAGTTCACGAACACCCAATCGATCACTCTCAATGAAAGCGCCAATGATGAAGGATCGGGTGCTGCGTTCCTTCGACTTGTCTCGATCACGGCTTCGCCACGGCCTTGCTCTCGACGAT